TAAGTCGGACAGATCACGCCTTATACTTCTTTCCAGGATCATTCTATGCGACATTTCCGTCCACCCACAGAATACTACCGTGTGTGCGTACGATGTTAAGCTCTAGCTGCTCTATACTGTATCTCCATCTGCCTACACACGAGAGCAGTGTATGTGTACGATGCAAAGCAAACGATGCAGTGAAAATACGCGCAACTCCACTGGTATCAGATGACACGCGGTGTTTGGAGATATGTCCCATTCTCTGTCATCTCCACTTGCTGGACTGCACAGACCTGCTGTTCTATTAGTATACGCCCGTCCATTCTAATAATAGATCCATTTCTATTCTACTTATAGACGCCAGATTATTCCTTTAATAAATGGCATCTTATTCTATTTGCAGACGCCAGTCCATTCTATTAGTAGATGTCATCCTATTCTATTAATAGACGCCAGTGCATCCTATTAATCTATATATATATATATATATATATTTCATTTTATTCTATTTATAGCCCCCAGTCCATTCTATTAATAGACGTCATCCTATTCTGTTTATAAACACCAGGGCATTCTATTGATAAACGTCATCCTATTTAGACGCCAATTCATTCAATTAATAGGTTTTGTTCTATTCCATTTATAGACGCCAGTGCATTCTATTAATAGATGTCATCCTATTCTATTTATAGATGTCATCGATAAGCGGTCAGCGGCTGCGCTACACACGGCGGTGCTCACGTTAGTTGAGTTACTAGATCCCAATGATGATGAATGGTATGTCAGTTGTTACATTTGTAATTTCTGGACTTATATTGAGTTTTAAATTCTAATTTGATGCTAACATTCTTGCGTGGTTTATTAGATCACAATGGTGATGAATGGTATGCCAGTCGTTACCTTTGTTATTTCTTTGCTATTTCTGGACTTATATCGAGTTCTGAATCCTAATTTGATACGAACAGTTCATTGAAAACTTGACCTCTATGTACACGCAAATTCTCCAGCAAACTGAACGTCTCCACAATGCATATGCACAAAACATGCACACCTGATGAATGTTGTTTCTCTGTTTAGGCCAATCATTCTGAGGGAGTTGATGACATATCCAACATTTGTCTTCATCATTATGCACACAACATCCACACCTGATGAACTTTGTTTCTCTGTTTAGGCCAATCATTCTGAGGGAGTTGATGACATATCCAACATTTGTCTTCATCTTTATGCACACAACATCCACACCTGATGAACTTTGTTTCTCTGTTTAGGCCAATCATTCTGAGGGAGTTGATGACATATCCAACATTTGTCTTCATCATTATGCACACAACATCCACACCTGATGAACTTTGTTTCTCTGTTTAGGCCAATCATTCTGAGGGAGTTGATGACATACCCGACATTTGTCTTCATCACGCCGGTGCATGCGGGCGAGAGCACACCCGAAACAGACGGTAGGTGATGTGGGTATTGAAGTGGCTAAAGGGGGTGTTTAAGGAGGTCAAGTGGTTTTTTAGGTAGGTAAGGTGAGTTTTTGTGTAGATAGAGTGTGTATATAGGTTAGTAAAGTCAGTGTTCAAGTTAATAAAAGTGTGTTCGAGTAGGTAAAGTGAGGGCATGAATAGGTCACATGTGTGTTCAGGTAGGTAAAATGAGGGGTTGAGCAGGTCAAGTGGGTGTTCAGATAGGCATACATGCAGTTGTGTGCTTGTAAGGTGTAAGGTTTTGTGATCGTATTCATACGGTAGAGTATATTCGTACACTCTACATATACATCTCATACATTCCTCTCTTTCTAATGCACAGAACCCAAAGGCAATGCAGCCTACATGCAGCTGTACTTCGACTCTATGAGCATGCTACGGACAGTCTACGAACCTATCGCCGACAAAGAAAGTGTTGTAACACATATGATCTTCAAGGAAATCATTGCTGGATTGCGAGTGGTATGGAATAGAATACGGCGCTGTGTAGTTTTTTTAATTTTGGTGGGTGGTTGACTGTGACTGTTTGTGTTGTATAGTTCTACTTAATATATTTTATGTAATGAAGT